ATCACTTGAGCTGCAACATTTCTTTTGAGGTAGCCAAACTCTACTGAGCTAAGTACTGTTTACTAAGGGCCCTGCAGGCAAGTCATAGTAAAGGGGTTTAGATGCTCACCTGCTAAATAATTAGAAGGTAAAAGGCAAATGGAAGTTAACGTCAGTTCAATCAGCCTTTATCATTCTGCAGTTTTGCCTAGAAAGATGTCAGATGCTGATTAACCAGGGCTGCTCAGAACTGTTTTGATGAGGTAGTCAGAAACTGGGGAGGGTTATAAAAGTAAGTAGATGACTTTGTTAGGTAAAAAAAGTAAAAATTAATAAATGCTGCTATCATCATAATTTTGGACACATGTCTTCTGTAATTAATGAGCATTATCAACACCATTTGATATAGATGATGAAAATCAAGTAAGTCAGCCTGTCAAAAGCAATAAGATAAAACCAAAAGGTAGTTTCTTACAGCAGAACCATGTATGGGCACCCTATAAGCTTGAGCTTGTTAACAGCCTGTGTTTTTCAGAACCTGTAATAAAGACAGACAGATAATTTGTCTCTGATGAACCTGCAAAATTGCTTTAATCAGTAAAAGCCAGGTGGATGAATAAAGCAAGTTAGACAGCTGTATAGAACCAACTCCTATTATAAGCTATTATTTCTACTGTTCCTGAGAGCTAAGAAATTGAAATATTATTATCAAAACCCACATAGAGATAAAAAAAAAAAAAGATCTATCTTAATGATTGTTTTAAATAAAAACTAATAAGCATAAATGGGTAGACAACTATTCATATAACTGTGGAAGGAGATGATTATCAGATGTGTTTTGCTCTGTGATGTTAAGGATCACTTTTAAACAATTCTTGTCCCACAGTGCTACAAGAAAATCTTTCATATTTCTTTCATATCCTGTTGCAGAAAGCTACAAAGGCTACAGCAAAGCTAAGAGATAGAAATGCTAAATATCTTTCTGGTAACTGAACACAAGTAACAAAACTGGTAAAGCAGAGTTGTGAAGGAAGAGATAATAGGTATCTGTTAATTCATAGAATCCCAGACTGGTTTGAGTTGGAAGGGACCTTAAAGCTCATCCAGTTCCAACCCCCTGCCCTGGGCAGGGACACCTTCCACTATACCAGTATTGCTACAAGGTCCATTCAATTTGGGTTACTTTAGAACCACTTAATACCAAACAGCAGAATTCTTAATTTCTCTTCACAGGTTTAGGGTGTGAACCATTTTCCATTAATGGCAAAATCTCACTACATCATATTGAACAGAATCTATCCTATAATTGTCTCCAACTTTAATGGCACTTGTACCTATAAAACAGGTGTACAAGGCACCCAAGGCAAAACAGCAAAATACTGAGAGATTATCATAGTGAAGGGTAACACCACTGAGATTTTAAAGGACAGGAAGAGAGAATGCTTAGACTGGGGAAAATTAAGACAGAGGGGAAAAAAACCCAACCCTGACATGTTGGAGGTTATATTGATTAAGGTTAGAAAGCCATTCCCCCTTGTCCTGTCCCTACAGGCCTTTGTCAGAAGTCCCTCTCCAGGTTTCTTGTCACCCCTTTAGGCACTGGAAACTGCTCTAAGGTCTCCCCTTAAGGCGCCTTCTCTTCTCCAGGCTGAACAAGCCCAGCTCTCTCAGCCTGGCTTCACAACAGAGCTGCTCCAGCCCTCGCAGCATCCCTATGGCCTGCTCTGGACTCGCTCCACCAGCTCTACATCCTACAGCAAATTCCTGAGGAGCTGCGGAGGCCTTACGTGCAGTTTCTAACCCCATCTCTCCTCAGGGTCATCCTTTCTTTCGGGGCCACCGTGCCTGCATAACAGCATTATGTGGGTACCTGAAGTGCTGTGGAAAACACTAGCTATTACTTGCCTTACACCACGACCACGGCTGGGGACATGAAGGCGGCAGCTCCGCACCTCGGGGCTTCTGCGGCAGCTCCTCCCTGAGGGGAGGGCCGGGTCTGTGGCGCCGGCTCCAACAGGTTACAGCCGGTTCTTAAGCAGCAGCCCCCACCCCGTTCCCGCGCAAGCCCCGGCCCGGCCCCTGAAGCTGAATTCGTGAGGGAAGGTGTTGCTTTAGGGCACGTAATGCTCCCAGCGTTTGCCTTTTGGTTTCTATCTACTGACGTGAGGGTCGGGATGAAAATATACAGAACTATCAGGCGGGTCAGTTACTAATTTAATTTTCACTGAGGTGATCACTGCGCTTGGCTGAGGGATGTAGAGAGTGGGGCTGCTGAGGCTGCAGCTACAGTTAAAGCCGGTATATAAACGCTTAAGTCTCCTTTAAAAAGGGGCGAGACAGTAGTTAATGATACTCCTTGAATTCTCCATGGAAGTGCTGTAGTTGCAAAGGGAGGGTAGGTTTTCAGGAGGAAGAGGCATGTGCAATGGGAGGGAACACGAGCTGTAACATCATCCTTCTGAAAAAGTCACTAAACAGCGTGAAGGCATCTATTTCACAACACATAAATAATGCCATGGCTACTTGTTTTCATTAGGTTCAGAGCCGCCTACCCATTTGACAGTCATCCGACTTCCATTTCAGTTTGATTACATTAAGGAAGTGACTGGGGAAAACTCTGAGAACACACAATAAGCAATAACAAAGAAAGCAAACTACATTTATGAAATCAGGCAACTTATGCCAGATATTTAAGGTGGTTTGTCATGGGGTTTGCATTTTAAAAAGGTCAAACTAAATTAACCATTCATTTATACCAGAGTTGCCCACAACAGTTGTCTTGGAAATCTAATCTAAACGGGCTGGTATAGAACATGAATTTGCTCAAGCTCTCTCAATCGCTGTCTTCCTGGACATAAAACAAGTGTAGTGAATGAGGAGGCTCATTTTCGGATGATTTGTGTATCTGGGAGAAGGAATTTTTGCAATTAATTTTAGGCATGATCAGAACTCAATAGCCTGGACACAAACTGCTTGTTATTGTTTCCTTGGGTGAAGTTACAGAAGGCAAGAGAAAACGGGTTTAGTTCTGTGAAGCAATGTGTTCATACAGTATTTAAATGGCTCAGTTGAAATACCTACAAGCTTCACTGACAGAGGGAGTGTTAGATGAGACATTAGGAAGAAATTCTTCCCTGTGAGGGTGCTGAGGCCCTGGCACAGGGTGCCCAGAGAAGCTGTGGCTGCCCCATCCCTGGCAGTGTTCAAGGCCAGGTTGGATGGGGCTTGGAGCAACCTGCTCTAGTGGAAGGTGTCCCTGCCTGTGGCAGGGATTGGAACTGAATGAGCTTTAATAAGGTCGCTTCCAACACAAACCAGTCTGGGATTCTGTGACCCATATCAAGCATCTCCAGAATTTGGGGAAGATTACAGAGATGTTGAAAGCAGTGCAATTGTTTCACAAGTCAAGCCAAAGGGACTGTGGAGGCATAACAATCTTTTTAGGGCTGTTTCTTGTGCCACAAGGTGTGTGGTGTCCTGCTCTGCCTACTGTGTTGCATCTTGGCTAATGCTAAAATTTCATGTGCTCCTATTTCAAAAGTTTGCCCATTGTTAGTTTATTCTAAAAACCCTGTCAGACCTGGCAGGAAAACTGGAAGCTTTCTCAGCAAAGAAGCCAAAACTGGAATTAGGACAGAGAAGGAAGAATCCCACAGATCGAAAACATCTTAGGCAGGTTCATGGAGATTGTAATGGCAGGGCCAGCTTGGATGCACCAAGAAGTGCTCTGTTTGATTGTGAAACAAAAAGGTACTAAGCTTTCAAAGCTCACAAACAAGTTGTTCCAAGACAAGTATAATGAAAAGTGACACCTTTCCCCATGGATCTGTGTGATAAATTCCATACTGTGTCCTCAAAAATACCATTTAAGAGAGTTAACGATGTCCGTGCTCCTTCATATCCATGTGCCCTCTCACCTTGGTACCTGTTAGTCCTGTTCCCCAATGTCATGATTTAACCCCAGCCAGCAACTACACACCACAGAACTGCTTGCTCACTCCCCCAGCATTTGGGTGGCAGAGAGAGTCCAAAGAGTAAAACTGAGAAAACTCATGGTTTGAGATAAAGACAGTTTAAAAGCAAAAACCATGCGCACAAATGAGACAAAACAGAATCCATTCACTACTTCCCATCTGCAGGCAGGTGTTCAGCCACCTCCAATAAAGCAGCACTCTATCACATGCAACGGTTACTTGGGAAGACAAACACCATAACTCCAAATGTCCCCTCACTTCCTTCTTCTCCTACCCCAGCTTTATATGCTGAGCATGACGCTACATGAAATGGAATATCTCTGTGGTCAGTTGGGATCAGCTGTCCAGGCTGTTTCATTTCTTAACTCCTTGTGCACCCCCAGCCAACATGCTGGTTGCGTGAGAAGCAGAAAAGGCCTTGACTCTGTGTAAGCTTCTCAGCAGCAACTAAAATATCCCTGCATTATCAACACTGTTTCCAGCACAAATCCAAACCATAGCCCCATACCATTTTCTTCATACACTATGAAGAAAATGAGCTCTGTCTTACCCAAAACCAGCATAGCTACCCATGACAGCAACATCTCTAGCATACCCCACTTCTTCCCTCACCACTTGCCCTTCATAGCCAATGCTTCCATGCCCTGGTTGCAAGCTGCCATGAGGCTACATTGCTGTAGGTGTTTTGGAACTACACAACTATGCTAATGGCTAAACAATGTGTGTTGGATGATGAAGTGGTAGACCAAACAGAACAAATACCCTGTCTGGCTATTTTTTCATTGAGGATGCAATGGTGAGGGTCTCTTGCTTCTACAACACTACTTATCTTCATTAAACTTCTAGAAACTTAATTATCTTTCAGATCTTTAACCTTTCCTCTGAAGCTGTTAAAACTTGCCATCAGTTTCTAGAGATTTTGCTGGGTGGAGGTGAATGCAAGGAAGGGAGGAACTCCATTGACAGACACCAAACTTAATTCTTTCTTCAGAAAAATAAAAAGAGCTGAAATAATAATACCAGCAAGGTACATGCTATTAAACTTACCTTTGACCAACTGATATGTAAATTTCTGAGATGGGAACAGCATCCATCACAACAGTGAGGTCCCTGAGTTCAATATATGCTAGGGCCCCTATGTTCCATTCTTGCAGTTGTCTTCACAGGGGGTGTTTTATTCTTTAGTTTTCTCCAGATAACCTATACAAATGGAGAAGGAAAGAACATTTTAAGGACAATCACACCTGAATTCAGGGTTTGGAAGAAAAAGGAAATAGGAACATGACAGTAACAGTCATCCCTGCATTAATGAGTAGGAAATCCTGCTGTCAGACTTTGACAATTGATTTAATCTAGAATTAAATTTAGCCTAATCAGTTTATTTTTAGTTGCTGCAATTAGCGTATCTGTTAAAAAACAGGGAATTAAATTTAAGATTAAATGCACTTCCTGGAATCAATCAGAATAAGCACAAAAGAGTTATTCCCATGGGTATTACACCTGCTTGTAGGTCTGAACCTGCAGTATTGACAGAGTCAGTGGGAGCCTGATGGCTGGTGTACCCTGGCACTGTTTTAGCCCAGGTTTTGAATATGTGAACATTAGGCTTTCAGGTTTTTCTGTAGTTGCAAAGTGAATTGCATAATATGGGCTACCTTACTGCTGGTGTAAGCAAAACCCATATAGACTGTCACTACCGGTTCACCTGCATGAAGGTGCTAGTCTTGCTGCACATGCCCTAGGGCATGACACAAATACATCAGACCTATTGCAGATGTACGTCATTCCTGCCTCACTCCTGCACACCAAATCCAGTACTTCACACAGTGCCAGCCTTCTGCACATCACAGAACAGCTGAGTGCTTTCCTCATGGGTAGCTGGACAGACAGCAGCCTGGCCAGACCTACAGAGCAGTCATTCTCCCACTCAGGTTGCCAAACTTCCCAACAGGTGTAGGAAAGGGCTCAGAATCCACACTGGTGGTATTTCCAAGTACAACATGATCAGCACCACACAATATGAAAAGTTCAGCCCTGCAGCCCCTGGTGAAAGAAAAAAAGATGAGGTTTGGTGGGAGCCACACAGATTCTCCCTGCTTCCAGCATCCTTAACCTCACGTGGCATAAGTAATGAAATAAAGGTATAAACAAGCTGAATATTTATCCACTAGGGAAACTGCAGCCAGGGAAATTAACACAGACAGCAGATATTTAAAGTACTTTCTTGCTCATCCTATTTTTCTCGATACACACTTGCCAATGTTCCAAATGTGAAAATTCAGACAAATACAATTTATGTATATTCACCAACTTACATTGGTAAGACTCAGGGTGGTGGTCAAATTTCTGCCTTCAGTTCAATAAAAAACTAAAAGGATAAAAGCACAGCATTAAATGTGAGTTTATTCATATTGATTTAACATTATTATAATCAGCAACTCTCAGCATTAATGCAACAGATCCACCTAATCTCAATGAGATAAATATTGAAAGTAAACCTTCTCTTTTGGGCAGAGCACAACTGAATATACTCAAAGTGATGCCTTGATTTTGCAAGTGTAAATCTGTATGCAATAGAAAATGCAAGATGTTTAGGACACAAACTGTTGCACATGTGTGCAATAGTTCTATCATACTGAGAAGTACCTGTGTACAAAAAGTCTGTATTAGCATACTGACAGGCTTACTTTGCTTAAATAAAAGAAAATAGGAATTTAGAATTGCAGTTCATAACAACTTGTCATTCCTTAAAGTTCAGTGATTTAGCGCTAGCTTCTGTGCTTGTCCGGGATTTAATTCCATATTAACAGCCACAATGGAGAAAACTGGTCCACACTTACTTATTGAGAGAGTTTTCTTTTTTAACTCAAAATTTATCCTGTCCAAATAATACACATTGTCAAAAGGTGAGTTTGCTGCTGGAAAGAAATACATACATTTAATGATTGGCAGTGTTTCTGACACAAGAACCTAAATAACACACTTCATATGGAAGGTGTAAAGCACTGAGCTAGATGATGCTACATTACAACGGGTAATAAAGAAGCTTTTACAAAGCAAAGATGTAATTCAGAAATTACTCAAGATCTTTCCCCTTAGTCTCTAGAGAGTATGTACACATTTTATTTATATGTATACATATACCTCTTTATAAATAAGTGTATTAACATCACACTTTGCCACCCCCCCCATACTCCCATTAGAACATAAAGTGAATGAAAATGATAGCATCATTAGAATTAATATGTAATGTAATATTTCAAAAGTGATCTACTTGCATCAAGGCTAAAATTATCAAGGAGACTAAATTAATTTGAGCTTTAAACTTAAGAAGATTTCATGCCTCTGGTTTGTCTATTCTTCACTATTTGGGATGGCAAAAGCAAAGAGATTAAAGCCTTGCAAAAAAAAAAAAAGCTAATTTGTTTATACTATATTTTGGCAACAACCCAAGGGGGGGGGGGGAAGAAGAAAAAAAGCTTTCATAATGCATAAATAAAAAAAGAGCTCAATTGTCTTCTTAATAGTGAGAAATTCTCTGAGGTTCAGGCTATCCTTGATCTGTTCCCTTGTGATACTTTCCAGAGAAAGCCCATCCACAAAAAGTTCCAGATTAATATGCAGCATTCACTTTTGTTTGGCAACTGTGAAATATTCATGTGCAGTACCATCTCACCACAGAGGATTACAAGGTAATTACTGTCCCAGAGGTATTCCTTGTACTGCAGCTGGGATGATGTATACTGTAGCTGAGATCATAGAATAGTTAGGGTTGGAAAGGACCTTAAGATCATCTAGTTCCAGTCCTCCTGCCATGGGCAGGGACGCCTCACACTAAACCATTTCCCCCAAGGCTCTGTCCAACCTGGCCTTGAACACCGCCAGGGATGGAGCATTCACAACTTCCTTGGGCAACCCATTCCAGTGGCTCACCACCCTTACAGGAAAGAACTTCTTCCTTAACTCCAATCTAAACTTCCTCTGTGTAAATTTGAACCTGTTCCCTTGTCCTCTCACTACAGTCCCTAATGAAGAGTCCCTCCCCAGCATCCCTATAGGCCCGCTTCAGATAACTGGAAGGCTGCTATGAGGTCTCCACGCAGCCTTCTCTTCTCCAGGCTGAACAGCCCCAACTTTCTCAGCCTATTTTCATACGGGATGTGTTCCCGTCCCCTGATCATCCTCGGGGCCTCCTCTGGACTTGTTCCAACAGTTCCGTGTCCTTTTTATGTTGAGGACACCAGAACTGCACACAATACTCCAGGTGAGGTCTCACAAGAGCAGAGTAGAGGGGCAGGATCACCTCCTTCAACCTGCTGGCCACGCTCCTTTTGATGCAGCCCAGGATACAGTTGGCTTTCTGGGCTGCAAGCACACAATGAAGCCAGCTCATGTTCATTTTCTCATCAACCAGCACCCCCAAGTCTTTCTCCGCAGGACTGCTCTGAATCTCTTCTCTGCCCAACCTGTAGCTGTGCCTGGGATTGCTCCGACCCAGGTGTAGGACCTTGCACTTGGCATGGTTAAACTTCATGAGGTTGGCATCAGCCCACCTCACAAGCATGTCGAGGTCCCTCTGGATGGCATTCCTTCCCTCCAGGGTATCAACCGAACCACACAGCTTGGTGTCATCGGCAAACTTGCTGAGGGCGCACTCAATCCCACTGTCCATGGCACCGACAAAGATGTTGAACAAGACCGGTCCCAACACTGGTCCCTGAGGGACACCACTCGTTACTGGTCTCCAGCTGGACATCAAGCCATTGACCACAACTCTTTGCATGCAGCCAACCATCCAGTTCTTTATCCACCGAGTGGTCCATCCATCAAATTGATGTGTCTCCAATTTAGAGACAAGGATTTCATGTGGGACAGTGTCGAACGCTTTACGCGAGTCCAGGTAGATGACACCAACGGCTCTACCCCTGTCCATCAGTTCTGTAGCCCCATCACAGAAGGCCACCAAATTGGTCAGGCAGGATTTCCCCTTAGTGAAGCCATGCTGGCTGTCACCAACCACCTTGTTGTTTGGCATGTGCCTTAGCATGCCTTCCAGGAGAATCTGCTCCAAGATTTTGCCAGGCACAGAGGTGAGACTTACTGGTCTGTATTCCCTGGGTCATCCATTTTCCCCTTCTGGAAAATGGGGGTTATATTCCCCTTTTTCCAGTGGTCCGGAGCTTCACCTGACTACCATGATTTTTCAAATATGATGGCCAGTGGCTTAGCAACTTCATTTGCCAGCTCCTTCAGGACCCACGGATGGATTTCATCAGGCCCCTTGGACTTGTGCACATTCAAGTTCTTAAGATGGTCTCAAACCAGATCCTCTCCTACAGTGGGCCTAAGGTCTTCATTCTCACAGTCCCTGCATCTGCCTTCCAAGACTTAAATGCTGATACATAAGTATCAAAGAGATGATGTGTTAGTATCAAAGTAGTATTTTTAAAAGCACCCACCTGAACTGTGCTGTTCATTTCTGTACTGATGGACTGCAGATCAGATGACCTCTAAGGTTTGGACATCTCAATGACACCAAAATACTGAGTTGAAGTAAGCTGCCAGAATTAAGGAATATCCAGCCCAGACAGCAGTTAAAGAAGAGAAAATCCTAAATTTCTAAAGATGAGGTTCACTACTCTCTTGACTGCTGCTCAACAGTGCTGGAATGTAGACTGAAACTTTCCTGGCTAACTTTTAGTCTATAAATAGCCAAGGTCAAAAGTCTTCTTGGGGGAATATGCTCAAGGAACAGTTTCAGCAGAAGACTGTAGGATGCATATCTAGTGGCCACAGATGTGGAGATCTGTGGAGATCCTGGCAAAGACAACATTGAGCATGAAAGGGAAACTGCAGTGAGCTGAACTCACTTTGAGCAGACAAAGCAGACATTAAGCATGTGGCTGAGGAAGAAAAAGTAAAAATGAGAGAGGACTTCAACTGCTGGGAGTCTGGAGATAAAACAGAACTACAGTTTCCATTTGAACTGAACAAAAACAAGGCACGGGGGACACTTATATGTCAGGTCAGAGGGATTTTTAGGCTATTGGCTTATTTATGTCCTAGTTAAAACGCAAAATAAATAAAATGGAAGTTAACACACCCTAGTATTTAAAGAGTAATTAGAAATAAACCTGACTGAAAGGTATATGCCTACCAAAAAAACCCAACAGCCCTGAGAAAGCAGCAGTGCAAAGAATACAGACATCAAGTCATATTAAGCCAGGCAATCCAAAAAGTAACTTTTGGATTTCCTTTTAGATTTCCTCTTGGATGCTCCAGTCTCAAGTCATTTAAACTAGAAGATGTTGCAAAGCCTAGAAGCAGCTGACACACTTTATTACATATATATGCATGCATACGTGTGTTTATATACATACACACACACGCACACATATAGAAAGACTTGGGGAAAACCCCTTGCTTGTCTTTTACTATCCAAACTATCAACATTTGTTAACATGTACATCCTAATACAGGTACATCCTTCTAGTTCCCTTAGCTGAACTAAGCTGAGAAGAACTCCAACCGCATCTCCAAGTCAAGAGTC